TGTGGTTAGTTGTCCGTGGTAGCCTCCTTGAAGGAAGAGGCCATGCCTTACTCATATTTTGTCTCCTTGGTTTCTGATATTTTGCCTGCCAGAGTTGGCACCTGACCCCAGCTGGACAACTGGAAGGACTGATCAACTATTTTTAAACCATAGCTTTTCAGGTCTTAGGAAAGTGTGTAAGTCCTTGGAGGGGCTGGAACATATCCCACCAATTTGGGAACCTACCCTTGAAGAGTACATAACCCTTATTCTGACCTTACATTGCATTAATGCTGAGTGCATGCTTGTGTAATTAAATCAAAATTGATAGCAGCCACCTAATGCAGGGTGCTGATTAACTTAAGGCCATCTCTTCTCGAAGTGTGTGCTCTGTTCTTCAGAATGATAACAGATTATGAGAGCCAGTGTTGGAGAGAGAAATGAAGGAAATTCTATGGCAAGTAACGTTGAAAAATTCTCAGCTAAGCAAAATTAAATACTGTTCTTCATCAAAGAACTTCTTTGACCTTAGCATTGTTCGTGAAACTTCCAGAAGGGAGATAATAAGCAGCATTTCCAAAGTACTTTGAACTATGATATTTTTATTATAATTTCTCTCTCTCTTTTGAGCAGCTCTTTGGTAATAGTGTTTCAAAGATCATACTTGGGAAATGCTGATTTAAGACTGCTAAGATGCATAAGCTGGTTTGGCTGATTTCAGAGTAATAAAAGGCAATAGTTAAGTGGGTTCCCATTTTGCATATGAGTTAACATAAGCATTTTGCCTTAGGAATGTAACAGATGAACCTCAGAACTTCCCCAACAGGAAATGAACCGAGGCAGCACAGAGTGTTCAGGAACCCTAAACCCAGCCTTTCCTTGAAGCCCTCAGTGAGGCAGGAACCAGAAGTTTCATGGGCAGCCTTTTCTATTCCAGTGTTTGGCCCTCGAGGCAATCTGAAAAAGAGTCCCAGATTGATGCTCAGGCCATATTTATGGCCATTCCAACATGAGGAATGTGGAAAATGGAGAACCAGCTATGGACACCACCAAGAACTCAGATCTAATTCCCACCATGGAGTCCCCACAGGGCAATAATCTGCTTAGACCAAATGAGGCCTTCAGAACCCTGCAGGCTTTATCCTCTCAACGAAGTTAATCTCGTACTTGGAAATAATGAAATTGCTGATAGATCAGGCTGGGATCTCTGCTAGTTAATATTATCCCATCTCTCTATCCTGTGACAGTGCTGTCAACTTGTTGTAATGTGATATTTTGAGCACCATTTAGATATTATTTTTTAATAACATCTTCATTGAAGGCCTAAAGCTTTGCCTAAGATTCTAAGGAAAGTTTTCATATGAAAGAGAGGGATAATGTTAAACAGACACTAATAAGCCCTCTGAAGAAAATTCATTACAATATCATTAGCAAAAGAAAAGAAGGAAGAAAAAACAATACACTTTTCCAGCCAATGTATGTTCTCTCATTAGGATTTTACATTTTTTACTGTACTGTTGCTGCAGATTATTCTTAGTTATGTATGTGCTCATGAACCCATGAAGAATTAGTGTCTTCTTAATGAGCACCAAAGACTGTATGTATTAAAAATTCTTTAACCTTATGTAAAAAAGAAACCATTTATTAGCAATTATGTCTTAGGATTAAAAAGTATTGTTTTTTGAAGCATTCCAAGCACGTTGTAGTGTCTTCTCCTACTTGAGCTTTCAGGATCTCTTTGAGGGATCCTCCTCTCTGTTATGAGGAGGGTAAGTTTTCCTCAAGAATGCAAATCACTTGGCCATGGTTGCCCAGTGAGTCAGAGACCATGCTAAGGGTCTCACCTTCATGGTGTAATTTGAGGGTATGGGGAGGCTTCATTTATCTGATAATAGTTTTCCTAATGGCCTGTGGTATATGTGCTAGAATTATGATTAGAGATTCATGACTTGTCCTTTTAGGAATCCAGTTAAGAAGGCACATTTGGGAGAGGCGGCCCCTGTTATCACCAGAACCTTTGAAACAATTGGGACTGGATGGATATCAGACAGTATGCATCAAAAAGGCTGGACTGCCTCTTGATGCCTGGTGTCTAGTCCCATTTTGATTGGCCAATGTCCAAGCATTGTTGAATATCTTTGAATATCATCCCAGGTAGTAGGGAAAAATTACTGAGAATAGGATGGTGCTCTGGTTTGAATGTGTTTTCAAAGTTTGTATGTTAGAAACTTAATCCCCAGAACAACAGTATTGAGAGATGGGACCTTGAACAGGTGATTAGGTTATGAGGGCCCTGCTGTCACCAATGAATTGATGTTATCATGGGAGTAGGTTTCTTGTAAACATTAGCTCAGCCCTTCTCACCCTCTCTTCTGGCTATGTGATGCCTTTCACCTTGTTATGACATAGCAAGAAGGCCCTTGCTGGATGCGGCTTACCCCTTGATCTGGGACCTCCCAGCCTCCAGAACCATGAGCTAAATAATTTCTGTTTATTATAAATCTTCCAGTCTCGGGTATTCTGTTAAGGCAGCAAAAGCAGACTAAGACAGAGGAGAAACACAAAGCCAAACTCTGAGTCTTTCTAAAGGTCACGTTGGACAAGCCATATCACTGATGGTGTGGACACTAGGACCCAGGCATATCCCAGTGATATTTACCTAGATCCCTCAAGGAAAATCAATAAATATGGACCATTTCCTTTCTGATATAGAGCTAATGTTTAAAAGAGAAGGGTCTTGATTTTTTCCCATATATTTCACTGTACAGTGAATAGAATATATACCAGTAAATAATATATGGTCCTTATTATAATGTTGGAAATAAAATGAATATGATTGTGATTATTGTATCATTCGCTGCATCATTGCTTTGCCTTCAATTTGGGCCTTTTAGCTGTTGTCAGTTAAAAGTCTACAAGGAATTTGTCTAGTTTCAGTTTCACATGCAATGTAGATATACTTTTCTCCTTATTAAAACAAAGTTTAGATTATTTTTTAAAAGACGGTTCTCTCTAAATGTTATGTATGACTACTTTTAAAATTATGGATCATAGTTAACATACAGTACAGAGCCACTTGGCCAAGTTAGGTGAGTATAGTGAATGTCCAAGCCTCAATTTGTTTGAGACAAATTCAGGTATGAATTTAAGAGACAACTTGTTAAAGAAAGCATACTCCTTACTTTCTTCTTTCAGATTGCTCTGATGGCAACAGAGTCCTTGAAATCCTCAGGGAACAAATTGGGGATAAAAGTTAGAAAGTACACCAGCTTATTTTCCAAGCTCTGAGCAGACCTAAGAAGAAAGACTGAATTTAATCAAAAAAGATTTTATTGATGAAGGTATCTCTCCTTCAGGCTAAACTTTGGCCCCTGCATGCTAATAAAACCCTCTCATTTCTCAGAAGTAGCCTTCTGCATAAAATCCAGGGAGAGTCCATGGACAGGAATACATCTTGGAGAAAGGGAATTGAAGACGATCAATCAGAAGTTGGCAAGGTCTCCCGCTGTCCCTTGCTGAGTTAGGAGGCACTTGCCTCTCTCTGGGCTGACTGATTTTTAATTCTTGGGCAGTCACCTGAATGCCTTTGGATTCTTGAGAGAGTGTAGGATGTGCCACTGGATGCAACTGCTTCTCTCAGCTCATGCTGGCTGAGCTCTGGGCATTTGCACCCTGGTATTTTACTTCTATGTTATCTGCGCACGTGGTACTTTTACTGCCCAGATATGAAGATGAGCAATCTGGAGCCTCAAGTTTTTATGACTGCTAATTAGTACCCTGTTTGTGCCCTTTTAATCTGTTATTATAATAGGATGGCATGACATGCAGTTTTTTCTTGGCTCTCTGACTGCCGCAGCCAGAGGGGGCTGTATTTGCACTTTCTCATTACCTGTGTGCTTAAAGAATATTAATAAAGATGAGTTTAAAAGGGCAATGTTCTGAAACTTTCTAGTCCTCACCACGAATGTGAAATTTAGTTCCTGTTCTTCCCCAGGCTATGACAGAAAGCTTTTGCCCCAAAGATGATGCTCAGACTCCAGTGAACAGAGGTGGGCCATGGGAAAGATTCCACGGCTACTATTCTTTCTCTGGTTCATTTTTAATCTGAGATAGGCAGGGATGGGGGATCCGTGAGGCTATGTCACTTGGTGAAGTCAACAGTGAATTAGACTGAAGTTCGAATTCTGGATCTTTGGCTTATTATCTAGGAATCCCTGCACAATTGCTTTTCTTCCCATATTGTTACTTTACCCCTTCCAAGCCTCCTTTCTCCATGCACACTTAGCCAATTTACTGACTGTTAGGTACTCACTTCTCTGAGCTCCACAGGAATGCAAATTTCATGAGGTCAGGGGTCACATTTGTCCAGTTCTCTGGTAGCCCCACAGCACCATTTCTGACAAATAGTTGGTTCTCAATAAATGAATGTCTAGTAGACAAAAAAGACTGAATTTCTTGTCCTGTAAACAAGTATCGAAAAACCGTCTCACTGGACTGCAGGAATAATCAACTAGTAACTGCTATGGTTTGGATGTTTGCGCCCTCCTAACCTTATGTTGAAATTTCATCCCCAATATTGGAAGTGGGGCCTTATGGGAAGTGTTTGGGTGATGAGGGAAGATCCATTATTAATAGATTAATGACCTCTCTGTTGGTGAGTTACTCCCTACTCTGTTAGTTCCCATGAGAGCTGGTTGTTAAAAAGAGTGTGGTGCCTCTTCCCTTCTCTCTTGCTTCCTCACTCCGTATGTGATCTCTACACACACAGTCCCCCTTCACCTTGCCATGAGCGGAAGCAGCCTGAGGCCCTCACCAGAAGCCAAGGCCAGTACCAGGCTTGTTGTACAGCCTGCAGAACTATGAGCCAGATAAACCTTGTTTTCTTCTTGAATTACTCATCCTCAGGTATTTCTTTATGGCAACAATTAAACTGAGACAGTAACATAATACCTGTACAGTGTCTGGTAAACAGCTGGTCCTCATTCAGTGGGAGTGAAGTTTGTTCTTTCCTCTGACTATAGGAGCTGGGATGCTCAGGTGAAATGTGGCCTCAGGCTCACCTGGGAATGAGCGAGCGAAGTTAGGAGAGGTAAGAATGAACACTGCCTTTTTCCACACTGTCACATATGGTAGGAATGTGGAGGTCCTTGCTTCTGTCACTCTCTTCATTTGGTAGAAAGTGTTCTGTAACCATAGAGCCACAGGAAGCCACTGTGATGCTATGATATTCAGAGGTCCAGAAGGCTGCCTTCCATTCTCCATATCAGAGCTTGCTCGATGGAATGGTGTTCCCCAAATGTGTCTTTTGCCTTGATCCATAACCCTCCTGTCCTTTCAAGGGATTGCCTAGCATCGGCTTCTCTTAGGGTCAGAGTTCTGAACATTTCAAGAAAAACTAGCAAATGTGCTCTTGGTTGAGGCCTGCCTCCCTGCTAGTTTTACTCACCCTGAGTATGTGTGAGTTCGTATAAGTCACTATAGGGAACCTGCACGTGCTTGCAATTCCCAGCATAAAGCTGATTTCTTCTGGAAAATGAAAGCAGCGCTCATGTCCTTTATACATGCCTTGAGGCTTACATGGAAAGAAGTCAAAGGAAAAAACCCACCTGTTGGTGACACCCCAGGCACATGTATTTCAGGGACTGAAAAAAAGCAGCATTCAAAGTAGCAAAGCTTTGCAAGGATGATGCAGTTCAGATGTGAAGCTGGCTCTTGAAAAGTGGATGATCAAACAGAGCACTGTACTCTACTAAACTGAAATCCAATAGGTTGCCGTTGCTGGTGTTCTCATTCCATCATGAATTCTCAGAATAGCTTGGAACAAATCAAATCAGAGACATCAATCGTTAGAAAACAGAAAAGCATCAGGTAGCATGCACTTTCTAGAAGCCCTATAGGGCTGTTTCTGAGGGCATTTTTGTTCCTGCGGTCACTGTATCCTTCAAACTGTCTTCAGTGGAGAGGACACGTGGCAGCCCCCTGTGCTCAATGCTGCTTCCTGTTTCTCCAGCAGTATTTTCAGTGTCTGAAGATGAGGTTGAACCATGATGAAGCTGTGATCTCCAGTGGCTGAGCCCAGTGCTAGTCCTGTTTCCTCTTCTGAACATATATAGCAAATGTACTTTGTGTACTTCCAAACCATCCTAATAGCGAACTGATGAGCTTTCTTTCGTGACATCAGGGTGATAATAAAAGGAAGGATTTGAAAATATCTTTATTTGAACACATTTTTAAAAATTAGCAAATCTGTTTTGGCACTCCGTTTTTGTTTTGCTTTGTTTTAGTGAATTTTTCTTATTTCTGAAATGTAAAACCACAGGAATAGTTGACTTAAGGTCATTTTTGTTCTTGAAATTAAATGTTACAGTTATAGACTATTTGGATACAATCAAATATTGAAGAGAACCTTTTAACATTATTGAGACATACAGAGTGCATATTGTCCCAAGGATTTCACATTAGTGACCTTTCGGTTTAATACTATCCTGCTATATACCCTGTAACTACTTCTCAGCAGCTCACTGGCAACTGACAAGGTGTTGACTTCTCCCATTCTATCCTTCCTGCTAAAAGTGGATTTTCTTACTGTCCCATAGCATTACTCCCCTGCCTACCCTCAAAATACGAGAAAGAGCTTTCAGATATGTCACCATCTGGTAGCCTTGCTTTTGGGGAAGCAGCTGGTACAGCTTGGCATTATAGTCAAATAAGTAACTTTAGAGATAGGAAATGGTTTTACAGAACTTTAACAATGACACAATAAACGTCTTAGCCTCTAGTTTCCAACCATAATAAAGTTGTCCCTAGAAGAGTTGAGTTGTCAGTTTTTACTAAGATACACAATAAAGTATATCTTTATTGTGTCAATATCTAGTGGTGTGCTGGTAAATATTAACAACTAGTTTTTGTGTATGCATGTGTGTGTATATAGAAAAACATATCCACATACCCTCATACATCTGACTGTTTATTATAAATTTTACTGATATAAAATGTACACCACACAATTTGTGAGTAATCATAAAATATATACCAATCTTTATCATAAATTTTATATAGCCAATTTGATTCTTACAGAATACTTTTGTTAATGTTTGTTGAATTCCTATAATCACAGTCAACTTATGATTGTGATTCAGCCATGATTTGAAAATTCAGATGAGGAATAAATGTTTGGTTACTACCCAATTAAGCAAAGTTGCTCATGTCACTGACAAACAGGTGTGCTTCAGACATGAATATTGGTTGACATTTTTGTTTACATAAATGAGACAAAAGTGAAACCTAAGAATATATGTCAAAACTTTACTCATTTGTCAATCATATGAGTGACTTTTTTTTACCAAATCAGATAATGAATATAGAATACTAAAGGGTATTTTCTTAATTTTTTGTGCTATTCACCATGTAACAGCTATTGACACAATATGCTTTTAAGTTTTGTCTGCATAATCAGTATTTTCCTCCATCACTTACTTAAATCTAGATAGCCAGGAAAACAGTTAATCTGTAGTGTTCCCAGTTTCCAGTTCATATAAATACTCTCCATGGCTGAATTGAAACTACAAACCTGATATCACTGCACAGACTTGGAAAGAGACGTGCAGTAGTACACTACTGAGAGTATTTCCACCACAAGATACAATAGATGTTGATGTGGTTTGGTTGTGTCCCCACCCAAATCTCATCTTGAATGGTAGCTCCCATAATTCTCACGTGTTGTGGGGCGGACCCCGTAAGAGATCATTGAATCATGGGGGCAGTTTCCCCTGTGCCATTCTGGTCGTAGTGAATAAGTCTCCTGAAATCTGATGGTTTTATAAAGGGAAAACCCTTGCACTTGGTTCTCTTTCCCTCTTGCCTGCTACCATGTAAAACATGCCTTTTGCCTTATGCCATGATTATGAGGCCTTCACGGCCACGTGGAACTGTAAGTCCATTAAATCTCTTTTTCTTTTTAAATTACCCAGTCTCCAGTCTCGGGTATGTCTTTATCAGCAGCATGAAAACAGACTAATACAGCTGTATCTAACCTAAGAGCATAGATAATAGTAAAATGTGACATTATTAGGAATTACTGAGTTTTGAATATTTTCTTACCTTTGTTTTTAATATTTATTACTTGCAAGTTACAGAATTTAATTTTTAATGGCTTTTTAAGCTACCAGCTTACAAAACTTCTGAAAATTATACAAACAGCTCTTGTGAGCTGGTACAAACCAGCTCTCACACATCACTGCTTATATCCTCCTTATATGGGTCCTAAAATAAGCAGGAGACCCAGAAAATTTGGAAAGAATGGAGGTTTGCTGACCTAGTAAGAACACTGCCAAGAAAATAATTTCCACTGAACATTCTATCATTTTCCTCCTCGAACAGCATAGTCATGGCCAAAGTCATTTTAGCTTTGCTTTTTATCAGCTTAAGAAACTCTAGATCAGCCTTAGGCTTATGTGTTCAACACTAAGGAACATGCAATGTTTCCTCAGTGACAAAGGCAAAACCAAGGCTAATATAGGAAAGCAGGACCAATGGACCAAGGTGTCAGGTGTCATATGTTTTTGGGAGCGGCACCATTTGCCAGGGTATCTGTCTTCTTCCACATAGTGTACTTCACTTTTCTACATGTTCCTCCTACGAATATGAAGTTACTTGAAGCTCTTAACCCCTCTGCACCTCCACCTACTTTCCTTGAGAGACTTCTCCTTAAAACATTTGCTTTGTAGGGATGTGAAAGTTAGCTCCTTGATTGGGATAATGTAATTAAAGGGAAACTTGATTTCCTTGCCAAGTCTGGATTTCTCTACCGAGTACCACCTCAGGGATTTCTTAAAACTCGATTACAGTCTGCTCTGCTTGTTAGTGAAAACAAGGTGCTATAACAATCTCTCTTCCTGATAACCTGTTTTCTGTGTTTAAGTATTGTTAATATTTTTTCCTTAATCCACCTAATTGAAGATGTGAGGATGTTTCAATAGTATGATTCCTGAAATTTATTTCATAAATGATATTAACTTTATACTTCCAAATGTGTTAAAGTGTGAATATGTTTTAAATGTTTTGTCTTTCATATCTAAATGTATTTTAAGACTTTTTCCATTTTGCATTTCCTACCAGCAACGTTTTTTATACTGAATGCAGGCATTTCAAAGGACTCCTATTTTGAGCATGTCTGTTCCCGAAAGTATGCAATGCTAATTTGAACAGTAAGCAAGATAAACACCTCATATTTAAAAATTGGTTGAAAATGAGAAAAGGTACTATTTTCGTGAAAAAGAAAGTAAGAAATAAAAAGTTCTTCATGTGAATAATTCCAAAGCACCTCGTGGTAAATTTTTTTCTTCTGTCCTATATTGCTATTATTTAGTCACAGAAAGATTGCCTCATCTAATTTATCGGAGAGAAAACTGTCACATTATTGTCTACCAGAAATGATATGGGGACAGGTTTATCTTATTTCAATATGCATTTAATTAATGAGTTACACCATATATTAATCAAAGCAAATATATTTAGATTGTAACCAGACCAAAATCTTTAAACTCTAATATTCTATCCTAATGTTTTTAGCTTCTACTCGTATCAAACTTAATTGTAGTTTTTATTTGTCTGAAGAAAAAATGGTTATATGCAAAGGAAGTGAGGGTGATTTGAAGTCTTCATAGAGCCAGTTTTTTACACTGGAGGGAGTGGTTGATAGGTTTGTTTTGGGAGGTTCTTCAACACGTGGAAATGATATGTGAACATTTACGTGTATGTGCATTTTCCTCAGCGTTGTATTAGAATCTAACAGGGGGCTTGTGATGCTCTAAAGTTTGAAAATGACTTCCTTTCAGGAATAATGAAGCCCACTTTCCACACTAAAATGATTTTTAGTAATGAGCTATTGCCCATACCCCCTTCCTTTGTGTCACTTAAAAGACATTTTTATTCACAAATTCTAATCAGTCAAAGGGTAAATAATCAAATATGTTTTAAAAAGATTCAAATACTTGGCCAGTGTAGCAGAAATCATACATATGGTCATTAACTTGTAATGGGTTGGAACCTGGCCTCTCTAGAAGCGGGTATCTATAGCCAGGTTGTCTTACTATCATTTTGTCCCTGCTGTGTGGCCTACTGGAAGGATTCAGTTTCATGATTAGGGGTTAGATGAAAAGAGAATTGTTGAGACGTGGCACCAAATGTACAGTGTCATTGCCCATAACGTATGTTTATACATCAAACATGTTTGTTGCTTTTAGGGAATGCATCCATTAATCTATTTTTTTCTTTCACTTTTAAGTGCTGTTGAGATGTCAAAGGAACAACAGCACTGCTATTCCAAGTGCCCTCAAATTGGAAGTGACTGTATTTATTGGCATTGCTCAAAGAGACTTAAAGACCAGTACCCATTCATTCTGTGGAGTCTGAGAATATGGAATTAGAAGGAACACAATATTGTTTTGGCTAATGGTAAAATAAAAACCTGGAATGATGAAGGTGACTCATTGATCTAACATCTATAATCATGAATTAATTCACTTTATGTCTGAATTACCTCTGTTCTCGCTCTTATAAAAAGAGCAGCTAATTGATAGATTACTATATGCCTGATACTATCTTAGGCTCTTTACATTGATAAAGTGATTTAGTCTTCAAAATGCTGTCATTTATAGGCATTGCTATTCTCCCTGTTTTACAGATGAGGGACCTGAGGCACATAGAAATTGAGTGCTTGTACAGTGGGATACAGCTATTTAGTGGTGGCACTAAGATTCAAAGCTAGTCAGTCCTGTATCCCAGAGCCCAGGATCGGGACTGTGCTCAGTCCCTACTATAGTAGAGAAGGTGCTAGAAGCCTGGAAATTACAGTGGTCCAGACAGACATGGTTCTTTCCGCTATCAGTGAAGCTGATAGAGACCAAAGGGGCAGTAGTTGAGGCTACTTCAAAACAGAAGGGCAAGGCAGGTTCCTTGGGGAAGATTTAAGCTGGATGAAGGGAAGGAGCCAGGGAAGAGAGAGATCCCTGGGAGAGAGACAAGAGCAGGTACAAGGCCTTGGGGAAGGAAGGATCTTGGAGTATTCTACAGACAGCAGAAACGGGAATGGCCAAAGACAAACGAGCAGAGGGGAGAGGCAGGAGACCAACTGTGGCTGTGTGAGACCTTCTTAACCTCAAAACCTAAAGGGATGTCATTATGAAGCAGCTTCTTGGCAATTTGATGCCATGCTTCTTTGTCCCTGTGATCTGATGCCATGATCTTCTTGCAGAAGTTTTCTATCTTGTGTTCTGTCTTTGATTACCTCTTATTTCCACATGAACTTCTCCTCTTCTCTCTTGGTTCCTTTGGATGTGGCACTTGGCCACATTGCTAAGGGGGAAAAAAATGATTTCATTGGTTAAACCATTGAATTAAAGGCTCAGAAATAAGTGGTCAAAAGAGTCTTAAAGAACATAAAAGTGCTGGAGGAGAGTCCATTAAACCAATAACTGAGCCAGAGTCTTCATTTGTGTTCTATGAGGAACCCTCCACTATTTAGCTGTTTGTGGACCCAGCAATTGCTATGATTATCCCATTATTGCCAGTGTCCAATATAATGTTTGTATCCAGACTATGTTATTAACTTTATTTTTCATTTATTCGAACCTACATATGTTAGGTCATTTGTGTTTTGTTTGGGGCTGTGTGGGTTTTTTTCAGAGCAGTCCAATTTTGTCATAACATGCATCACATAGTTAAGATTTCATATCTTTGCTTCATCTACCCCATTATGGAAAATGGCAGTTGATTAGGGTTTTCTTTAGATCATTATCAATTGTTTTCTACCTTGCAGATAGTGCTGTTAGGACACATCTATCATACCCCAGAGATCCTATATAGCTCGTTATTTCTAAGTGATTTATTACCTTTACTGTGGAAATGTAGTTAGTGAATGTTGGGGAAGCAGGGGCTGCATTGAGAAATATCAATGTATCCTCATGTTCTGGCTTGCAGTGACAGTCAGAGATCCATCTCACTGACAGTTACCTTGTTAACATTTTGATCAGATGGCAAATTTGTCATTTTTCATGATAACAAGTATAAGTTTGCACAAGAACCATAGATAGATGAGAAAGATAAAACAGCCCTCTCTTAGTTTTTCTGTGTGATGTAATCAGTAATCTCTGGGAGAAGTGAAATAATTACTGTGTGAGAAGCTCATCCACTGGAAAATGTGTTTGTTGTAGAAAGCTCAGATATTTCTTCATTTGGATGGAATGTACCCTTTTTTCTTTCTTTCTTTTTTTATTTTTTTCCTTTGCTGACAGTTTGATTAACACACCATGCCTATGCGAAATAGACAGAACAAAAGGGTTTACAGTCAGAATGCTTGGGTTTAATCACAGTATAAGATGTAAACAAGGTGAGTAAAAAATAATAGCATGCAGAATTATTAGGAATAGTGAATTAGCTGCCATGGGGATGGGGTTTGGGTGTTTCCTCCTTCTACATTTTAAACTTGCTCTCAAACGCTTTCTCGTTAGCATCAATATCGAGTAACGTATGTTCTTCTCTAAACGCTTGTCAATAACTATGAGGTGGCCCATCTGGAGGCCTCACTCTTGTGTGATCACACAGTTAATAATGTCTTTGTATTGTTTTTCTTGCATTTTCTCTTTGGCTGTGTTCCTCGTGCTGTGAAATCTTTAAACTCAGAGCACTTGTGAAAGCTCTAAGCTCTATCAGGTGCTTAGGGGGTGAGCGTATTGGAGGAAGAATCCCACTTTGGAGTCAGCATTTCTTTCCAATGCTTGAGAGTCAGAAATGGGCTTCTGCCTGCCTCTGAAAATAATAGTTCTCAGTGCAGCGGACAGCTGTCAGTTAGAGCCCATAACAACCGGTGACAAACCCATATTATTGAAACTCAGGTAAGACTAGAGTAAGTACATC